TAATAATAGAAAGTATAAATAGGTCGTGCAGCTAATTAACAATGCTATACATATGAGTTAATTAAATAAGGCAATAATTTTTTCACAAAATGTCGGTATATTTAAGCAAAACTGTTCGTGTCGAGTATCTCTTGACATTTGCATGGCATTGACTCCACTATTTTATGTTAGACGTCCTGTGGAATCACTTCACTCCTTGTATGTCCCTTCGCATAATTTTTCGACATTTTTTTCTTTGTAAGGCCCTATTATTCTTCCAGGTGAGTTTATGGTTTAGATCTGAGGTCGGCTTTAGTATACCGTCCCAGGCTTTCGGCGATAATATTAGTATGAGCGGGTAGAGAAGATTCTCCAGTTCAATAACAAGAAAGTTATGGGTACATTTAAAACGAATTTTCCCTAGATCTGGACTGCAACAAGGACAGTCAAAAATAGTCAACAAATTGTCATGAAACCACTGCTAAGTGCGCCGAGTTGTGTGTTTCGGATCGTTTTCCTACACATCCTAGTACATCCATGTTACGGACATGTTGGCGTTGACAAATTGCAGCATGACGTCGTTCATAATCGATATTAAAATTACTTAAATTGGTCTATTTGTCCATTAATTTTGACAATAGGCCCGATGCCACGCTATAAAATTGCACTCCAAAACATTATATTCTTGCCTACATGTTTCAGTGCTGGAGTAGTGTGCCTATAATCCAGCACATTCTGTTTATCTTTCTTCGTCAGAAAACAGTACCTTTTTTCATTCACTTATTGTCAAGTGGGAGTATTTGAAAGCGATCTCCGAATAATGTTTTCTTTTTCGACCAGATAGCAGCGGCTTCTTCCTGGAAATACTTCCAAACAGTTCAGCTTCTCACAATCACTTTATAAGTAGTATCTATGTTACGGCTGGTGTCCATTTTGTCCAAAAATCGGTGCTTTAATTTTTCTTGGCAGCTTTGTGCGATCCTTTTTTAATTCTCTAATCATCAGATCGCCTTCTCTTGATTTCGTTTTACTCATTATCCCTCTGTGTGGAACTTTTTTTGTAGTATTATTTTTATTATAATAATGGAATGCATTCCCTTCCGAAATGTTGAGCGAATTTGCGATTTCACCAAATGACTTACCATTCTCCTGCATAATGACGTGAACTCCCTATTATTCTTAGCACAATATTTCCTTTTATCCATACTTTTATTACTAAAATTATTAAATTTAGTAATTTTAATCTAAATATGAGACCAGTTTTGCATAGAGTATCTTAATTTGCAAAAAAACTGAAAAATATACGAGCGTTGCTAATTGGGTGCACGACCGTTTTTTATCACATTTTCAATAAAAATTAAATTTCTCCGGTATAGAAGATTTTTAATAAGAATTTTTGACATCTTTCGAGAGACATTTTTATGTAAAAGAAACTGATAAAAACATAATCATAAACCTTAGTATTTTACAAATATATTTACAAGGGCATGTCGTTGGTAATTAGTTGCACGAATCTGTATATACGCAGGTATTATGTTATAACGTAATGCTGGAAACAGTCACCGACCCACAACCGTAGACCGAATCAGCTGATACCAGAGAACTTAAAACAATGAGAAGGTGCAAATTGAATTTTGTATGATGCTCGATTGGTTGGCTGAAAATTTGAGATCAAGGAGTTCACCACTTTCTGTATAGTTTTGCTGTTATTTAACAGAAATGAGAATTTTTAACAACGTTCTCTGACAAAATACGTATCTACCAATATAAAGAGAAAAACGAAATGAAATGAATGAGAAAACAAGAAATACAAATGCCACTTCACATATGCATGATTATTTTGTGCCATATAAACGATTTTTATGATGAAAAATTGATAAATTTTTTTTTTTTGCACAAATGCTACATTGATAAAATGTGAAAGATTATGCAAAAAATGATATTTTACTATTTTCATAATTTTCTAATTTCAATTTTTACAGAATTAATAATTTATGTATGTACATCAATATGTTATATTATGCTCTATATGTAAGTATGTATGTACAAATATGCATATGACCGCGCAAAATTATTAATGCATACACAAATCTACATACATTTAAGCGTACAAATGTAAGTACGTCAGCCAATAGGAAAAATACAAACATTGTTGTACAAAAACAACAATTGTCTCAAATAGCATCAGCACCAGAAATCAATATGGCAGCCAAATTTACAAATCCTAAATTTGTAGTAAAACACACACCAACAACATTTTCATTCGTGAACGCTGGCGCCCAAGCAATAAGCTAAGTCGTTTCATTCATAAAAGCAAACGCCTTACACATCTCCCCGAGCATGCGTTTGCCTACAAGCGTCTTTTCGCGACGATGGCAAAAGCTAAAAATCATAAATTGAACAAATTTCTGATATTCCCTCCAGAAGGGAAAAGTGACAACCCCTCAAATATGAGTATTAAAATATTTTTGAATAAAAGTGACAACATAGTAAATTTGTCGATTTACAATTCAAGAAACTTTTTAAAGAAAATATTCAATATTCCTCTGATTTATGTATACAGTAAAACCCGGTTAAGTATCACTCCTCCAATCCCTCTTATCTGCCGGTGTCTTGCTGCATCTCACTTTTTTTTTCTTAATTTTTTAAAGAAAACGGTAATTTTTTTTTAAAGACATAGAAATAATTTTTTTTGGTACCACTCGCTTAAGTACCACAATCGCTTATGTACTACAAAGCACAAAAAATCTGCATCTTTGGTTTTGGCACTTAACCGGGATTGACTGTATTTGTCAAAGAATTTACGTAAGTACGTTCGAATTTTTTGTACACACATTGACTTTGCACTTGCCCATATGGGACGCTTTGTCGTCGCGTCAGTTCTTCGACAGATTGACTCTTTGACATAAAAGCAAAAAATGTGTCAACGGAGATTTCACATGAAGTAATGAGTGTACATATCTACATAAAAATACATACAAATGTGTAAACGCCATAATATATGTATGTCCTGTTACATATGTTTACACATGCATTTGAAAAGAAAAATTGAAGCATGAATGTGAAATACCGACGGCAAAACACATTGTTTTAAGCAAGGATGACATGATGCGAGACTCTCTCATTTTCGCTGATTTTTCTGTTATTCTCTTTCCCTGATTATTAAAATCAGGGAATTTCGAACAGCTGATGTCAAAAAAGGCGGGATGCCAGAAATAAACCAGCTAAAAATAGCTAACAAAAGCAGTGCGAAACGAAATTTCAAGGAACGACACAAATACATTTGAATAACGTGCAACTAAATTTTATTTGTTAATTTAATTTAAAACGTTCATTATAAAACCATGATATTTTATTATGACTTGTATTGTTTCTTTGTTATAATTTTTTTTATTTATATGCTAATTTTTTAAGTTATATGCATTTTTAAAAATTTTATAATATAAATACAAGTATATAGGGATGTATATGCGTTATATAGGCCTACTTGGGGACGGAGCACCTAAAAATAATATCGAAATGCAAAATACCCCCAAGTTTTTTTTATAATACCCAATCCATTTTCGTTCGACAGTGGCATGATTGGCAAATGTTATAAAAAATGTGGGTTTTGACAGCTCTCTCTCGATTCAAAGAGTCTCGCATCATTTCATCCTTGGTTTTAAGTTCTCTGCTGATACTACCTATTTTATGAGAGCGCAATGTAAATGAACACTCACCACCGCTTCTACAGACCGTACGGTACGATATATGCGAAAATTGGATATTACAAGTCAGCTGATTGCTCTCTTGCAACGCAGTGTTGCCAGTCTGAATATTTTGTAGTAGTTAAAAAATCAGCATGAATATATTTGAAATATTCTTAAACTAACTCAAAATCACAGTCGAATAAATTTATTTATAAATAGCTAGACTATTTTTAATAGTTGGATTTAAGTTTTGAGCTTTTACATTAGATCGCTTTCTAAATTATAACTAAAAAACTAAATGTGTGAAAAATTGTGTATACAAATAGAACATTGGCAATATTGGTCAAATGCAAACAAAAGAGAACAACTGATTTTTACGTTGCCACTACGGTCATAACTTTTGGCAAATTTGGTTTGAAACGTGCGATAAGTACGGAAGGGCGGAAAGTCGTTGACTATTTCCAGCATTTTACATGAAAACAAAAAACGTGAGCTTCGGCCATTGGATTTCCGTGGCAACGGCAATTTCGCACAAAACAGTGAGTTTACATATTTACATACATATGTTGGATGTAGATAAATTTACAAACATCCCTGCCAACCATGGCTAACCATTTTCCCCCGAAGTTTCAACGCAATAACACATTTTTTATTCAAGCATCAACACCAACGCACATTTTTGCCATATACCTTTATACCCTGAACAGGGTATATTAATTTTGCCACGAAGTTTGTAACACCCAGAAGGAAACGTCGGAGACCATATAAAGTATACATATAAATGATCACCGTGACGAGCTGAGTTGATTTAGCCATGTCCGTCCGTCCGTCTGTCCGTCTGTATATACGCGAACTAGTCCCTCAGTTTTTGAGATATCGATCTGAAATTTTGAACACTTCTTTTTCTCCCCAAGAAGCTGCTAATTTGTCGGAACGGCCGATATCGGACCACTATAGCATATAGCTACAATACAAACTGAACAATCGGAATCAAGTGTTTGTATGGGAAACTCTTTCATTTGACGAGGTATCTTCACGAAATTTGGCACGGATTATTAGTTAAGGCAACAATGTAATCTCCGAAGAAATTATTCAGATCGGATGACTATAGCATATAGCTGCTATACAAACTGAACAATCGGAATGAAGTGCTTGTATGGAAAACTTTTTCATTTGACGAGGTATCTTTACGAAATTTGGCATGTATTATTATTTAAAGCATTAATCTAATCTCCGAAGAAATTGTATGGATCGGATGACTATAGCATATAGCTGCCATATTAACTGAACGATCGGAGTAAAGTGCTTGAATGCAACATTTTTTTATTTGACGAGGTATCTTCACGAAATTAGGCACGAGTTATTGCTTAAGCAACAAATTATTCTCCACAGAAATTGGTTAGATCAGATCACTATATCATATAGCTGCCATACAAATTGAACGTTCGGAATCAAGTTTTTGTAAGGGGCCATTGTTTTTGTGAAGGGTATTATAGCAACCGAAGTTAACGTTTTTTCTTGTTTTAATGTAATTTCGAGTTTCCCAAACTAACAAAACTCTCATGTCTTAATCTTATTGAATGATTGCGAATGAGAAAACGTACATATTTGTCATTAGTGCCAATAGAAAAATCACAAAAAGGGAAAATAAAATACAAGTGAAAAATGTCATACGGAAAAGTCATTTGCGTTTTTAAGATGCAGAGGTAAGTCGACAAAATTTTTTGTAATTTGATAAATTTCTACTCTAATTCTCCATTTTTTTGTTTTCTTTTCTAGCATAACAATCAACGCAGATTTATTGAATGTCAGTCAAATATAGCAAGTTGAATAACTAAAATAATAATTTTTTGTAATGAAAACTTATTTTATTTCCAGGCATACAAACACTAAAAATGTGAGGGACTTCTACATACACTCCAGTCAAGATTTCTTAACGATAGCTTGTCGTTGTGAAAATTTAGTGAAAATTGTAATGCTAGTTTGTATATTATTATATACCGTTGTTAAGCAAAAATGAACTCATTAATACCGGTAAATTCCTTTTTTTAATTTGTTGCGCATTATTCATCGTTTGCGGATTATACATTTTGATTTGTATTTAAAGGAAATTAATTCTTTGCTGGGCCACAAATGGGAACCCATTCCCCCAAACAAATTAAATTCAGCCCAAAGTTGAATTCCAGCGACATATGATGTATGTACGTGAAGAATACGTCTATGATCTGATGCCCCGCGAAATGACCTATATAATGATGCTTATTAAATTCTTAAGCGAATTTGTATATGTACATATATACTGTTTGGTATAGCTTTAACAGTTTATATTTTGTTTCCTATTATATAAAGCGAGGAAAAGCGTAATAATCAGTTTAGGTTAACTTTACATTTGTAACTAACTGTAAAAGTATGTAAAATAAAATATATGTTAAAAATAAATAATTTCAAATTTAAAAATTTTGTTTGAAATTTTAAGAATTTTTAAGAATTGGATACCAAAATGCAACCTTGCGTCATCTGACAATCGGGAAAATTAAAGCAGTTCTGCTATATGTAGGTTTTTTGTATGACACTGCTGAATGAGTGAAAAAGGGTTACCTGCTCACGTACACACGTAATAGCTCAAACAGTCACCGACGCAGAACCGTGGACTGAATCAGCTGATACAACATATCTTACGGTTGCCAGTATCGGTATTTCATAGCAATGAAAAAAAAATTGAAAATATTGAAATATTCTTAAACTAACTCAATATCATAGTCGAATACATTTATTTATAAAAGACTATTTTTAATAATTGGATTTTAGTTTTAATGTTTAACATTATGAAAAATTATAACTTAAAAACTAAATGTGTGAAAAATCGTGTATACATATTGGGCAATAGCAACATTGGTCAATTGAAAGGAAACGTCAAAATAAATCAAATAGAATAATTAAAAATAATATGGACGACGAAAAATTAATATATTTAGTGGAAGCTCGAAGGGAGCTTTATGACAAAAGTAGTATCTATTATAGATTTTTGCCGAAGAAGGAAGGAAGGAGATGAACACAAGTGGTAAGTTTGGATTTGTTGTTTACGAGTTTGCATAATAAAAAAATAAATTATTTTTGTAAAGGAGAGGTTTGCCAAAGAAGATGGCTAGCGCTTCGCGATCGATTCGGTAGGGAAGTTAGAAAGGCTAAAGTACCATCAGGCTGCGAAGCGGAGTTTTATAAGCAGTGGCACTTAATGGAAGCGATACAGTTTTTAAAGCCACATATAGTAGAGTCACCACCTCGAGTCTCACTACATTCGCAATCGGTTCTGCGCTAATGCTCTCACAAACGCAAACAAATTAATAGTCAATGTGTTTGTTTTCAAGTTACTTGATTTAATTTTTAATATTTGTTAATAGAGATTAAGTTAATTTAATTATTTACGTCTTGATTATTATTTTTTATTTAATAGACACTATATAAACATATGTGATATTTATGTTTTAAATTAAAAAAAAAAAAATTATATTTATAAATTCAAGAATTCATTAAATTTTTAGTAATTTTTTAATATTATACATATGGTCCGCCCATGACAATGTCTATGTTGTTCTGGTATGGTAAAGATCCTACTTTGATAAAATTGGTAGCGAGGCTGTCTCGTAAGTTAAACGCATACGGAAAGAGTCGTAATTTTCATCCTCTCTACGTCATTCACCGACATGAGCGATTCTATCTCCTTCTACTCGATCTACATAGTTTTCCGGACAGTACCGACGATTGTGATCGTTTAACATTATAAAATTATACAAAGTTATGCAAACCAACACTATTTTTTTAGAATTTTCTGGATTACAAAATTGTTGTTTTCAAAATTTTCCATCGAACAGTCAATATTCCAAACGCATCTATAACTCTACGAGCGCGTGACAGCCGATAGTTAAAAATGCGCTTAGTGTTTGTTAGATCATTTAATAAGGGCACATTAAATCACTTCTTAACAGGAATGCAGCATCTCCAACGAAAAAGTGTCGAAAAGGTTCTGGTGACACGTCAGACAATGGCACAGGAGGTGGCAAAGGCAGATAGTTTTCCATTAACGCATGACCAAATGGAGTAACTTGAAAAATGTGTATATAAATAGTAATGAAGGCTCAGTACACTCGTACATTAAACAATTTTATAGACTGTACCTCCATCACTTTGACTTCCATAACTGCCAATACTAACTGATGTGAACGTATATTTCGCATTAGATGTTCCCATCAAAACGATGCTATAGAACTTTTTATGATTGTAGAACATCGAATGGGAATTAGCCGGGCACTTAATAGCAACGTGCTTTCCATTAATTGCACCGACACAATTCAGAATGTTCCACATATTTAAAAAAATCTTTAGCGAGGTCCTTGTATTAAGACTCTGTTGGCTCACTTACTAACTGGGGAAAGCAACCGCCAGATTATCTCACATGTCCTAATTTATAACTCCATGCAATACTCTGCACCGATACGCCTTGTGATAAATCTCTAACAACTATAAGAAAAGCACACCTAAGTATATACACATGTACATAAATTTACAATACACTATCAATTAACTTACAGTAACAACAACGAAAGCCTTTCTTCGGGACCAATCTGATGTTTTGGCTTCTGTCGGCAATGATTTCCTTACTAAGGCCAGAAGCAAGTTTAATACGTCTAGCGGCATCCTTGTGTGCAAACTAATGGTTCTGGTTCGCTGTCCTTGATCTAGTTTTTAACTGATAACCACCGGTGGCAATGTCTTTACTGATTGGGCGAATTTTAAACCTTCTCTGCTTTTTTTTGTTTTCATACTTTTTATAAAATGAGTTAATTCGCACAAACTTAAAAACATTTCATCAATATCGTCTTCTTCCATTTTAGTAATCAAGTCGACAGCATGTTTAATAAAATTGTAAAAAATGCCAAATGTAAAGAAAAGAGAACAGCTGGTTTCTGCGTTGCCACTAAGGGCATAACTTTTGACAAATTTGGTTTGATACGGGCGGTAAGGAATGTCGGTGACTCTTTGAACTATAAAGAGAAAGTAGTGAAGATTGTCACGCCACCTATGGTGAGTTTACAAGTTTTTACACAACATTCGAAGCAGAGAATGTAAAATATAGAGAAGGTCCAACTACGGACCAGCGTGTGAATTGTCAAAACCTAACAAAATGCGATGAGGGTATTTCACCACAGTCGGCTCGGACGGAGAAATTTTAACAGTGGCGGGTGAACAGAGCTGAGCATTGTATGAAAATTATGCTCAGAATTATATTACAGCCGCATGTTAGCTTATATTTTTATACGTTTATATGCAATCATATTCATAGATATGACATTCATTTTCTGAATATCTATGATATCATGAAAAATGTATTACATTTTAATTAAAATATGCTACTTCAAAGGAATATATGCAGTTGCTTTTTAGATATTGCATATGTATGTATCTGCTATGTTTTACTATATACATACATACATAAGTAGTATAACACACTATCATAATATCTTAAAAATCTTAATATATTTAAATAGTAATATATGCAAATCACACCTTTCATGATTTAAAGCTTACATACATACATATGTATGTACTTATGTAAGTAAAATTCAAATTCAAATCAAGTTATTATCATTTATCAGTAATAACATTTGCGCGCACTGCTCTATATGTACATACATACATATGTGCTTATGACATTGCCACACAAATAATGGATACACAAACCTACATACATATATTCGTACACATGTAAATATGTCACCCGCAAAAACTACAAACATTGTTCTACAAAAACAACAATCGTCACAAGTCAATATGTCAGCCAAATAGGCGAAGGTCAAATTTATAGTAAATCAAACAACAACAACATTTTCATTCATGAAGGCAGGTGTACTTTTAACAAGCAACCTCGCTTCGTTCATAAAAACAGACACGCTCACATCTCCCCGAGCACGCGTTTGCCTACAAGCGTCTTTTCACGACGATGGCAAAAGCTAAAAATCATAAATTGAACAAATTTCTGATATTCCCTCTAGAAGGGAAAAGTGACAACCCCTCAAATATGAGTATNCAGAGAACGTACATGAATAGAGAAGGAGCAAATGTTAGCTGTACTAAAATGTTAATTAAGATGAGGGAACATCGAAAACGCGCAAGTTCGAAAATAAAATTTCACCATCCTATCAGGCGACGCAATGAATTACACCACTCTATAAGCAAAATGTATATACATACATATGCACAGATGTTCTTTGGTATGCGCATAAACAAAAATTTAAATAATAAAAAGGAAAATAATTGATTTCGGACAAGAAAAAATAAATAATGAGGGAAACAATACGAAAATATAATTAAAATATCATTTAATAAAAAAGGGTTATAAAAATAAAAAAAGAGTATAAAAAAATATCTGATAGGATTTGAACTTAGGCAAAATATTTCACGTTGCAATAAGAAAGTGTTCTATACAAGCAGCTCCACAGACAATACTCAGCATAGTTTGTCTAATCTGTGAACTCAAACAGCTATTGTTGTTTACTTGCTTCAATGTTCGTATGTTAATATTCTTGAAATTGCCTTCCTTCATTCGCATGTCCAAATATATTTGCATATATGTACACATATGTACATATGTATGTCCCTCAATATGTGTTTCGCAAAAAATCAAACATTCGCGCAAGTGACAAAAAAACGTAGACACCATCATCGGCCAATAATATTCAAGCGAACTCGCGGCTTATTTTCTAAGTATTTCATATTACAACGACAACAAATTCATTCATAAGGAACGTGCGTCTGCTTCAAAGCAAAGTGCGTTCGTTCATAACTCTGCGCCGCGCTATTTTTCTGTGCGCCTGGTAAACCACATTTGGTTTTCATATAGAACTCCTACCGCAAATGCGCGAAAATAAAAATGAATGAAATTGAATTTGAATGTCTTCAGTAAAATTGAAGAAGTTTCAATTTTACAACTGATCCTACCATTCCCATCGCATTTGTATTTTGCCCACAAGCTGCCTCCTCACAACATTTGCTAAAAATCGGAAATTAAAGAATTTGTCTGATGTTGCCTTCAGAAAGGAGAATTGGCAACATGACCTAAGTATTAGCGAGTTAAAATAATATTTTAATTTTATTCATATTATGCACTATATATGGCATTATATTATAAAATTTATATAAAATTGACATTTAAATATATGAAATCATTAACTACTTCCATATATTCTAAGCACACTGCATATAGTACTTTTATATGTTTACTTATTATCATTGTTTCATAGTTTCTCAATTTATCTAAACACGACGCTATAAAAATGCAGCCCAATCGGTAATCCCAATACTTCAAAAGAGCATAAGTCAACTTTCAATAGCAAACCACTGCAAAAGGACAAACAAGACAACATAGCCGACCGACATTGTCGATTCAAACAAATTTTGTCAACTCCGCGACGATGCGCAAAATTCGCCGTCAATATGTATGCGAGCTCATTTGTACATGTGTATGTTTGTAGACAAAGTCGTCATTTGGGTTTTTTCAATAACACAATGTCCGCGCGAACTCGCCGTTACTTCGTTGGCTTGCCACCATACACAAAGGCGTTTCAACTGAGGGCTCATAGTATAATATATTAATATGTTGCTTAATTTGTATTGAAAAAGACTGATGCATAAATGACTTATTTTTGTAATATAATAATAATATACGTAAAAATATAAATACACATAAATTCATGCTTACAAGTATAATCGTTTTTAAAATAAATTCGATTAATAAAAATATATCTCAAATAATTATGTGGCAGTGCGCCTCTGACTCCTCCTTGCCAGCGATCGTTCAGCTTGCTTCTCGCAAAAAGCAAGAAGTTAGGACAAAAGTCTTTGTTTGTGCGGGGCAAGAAGAAGCAAGCATCAGCGTACGTGTATTTAAGAATGTATGTGTGGTTGTCACATTTGTGTAAATTGGCATAAATAAGCGTATATTCAATAAACCTAAGCATATGAAGATATTTTCCTGAAATATTTTAATTATCTCTGAAAGTAAAATAAGCTGTTTAAGGAATTGAATTGAGATATGATAATTAATTCCAATTAATAAAATAAAATTTTAATTTTATGTACTTATATTACGATTCGAACATATATGCTCGTATTCGGATTGAGCTTAATTAACTCCTTTACGCCTACGACCTAAGCCACTATATATAAGCAAATAGAAATGCGAGCGCTTAGCCACAGTATTATTATTTGTTCAATAAGTACCTAAGTATATAAGTAGTTTACGCAACGCACATACAAAAGTTGGAAAAATTGCATATCAAAGGTTATTTTATTATGAATTCTGGGGTTTTTAAAAGTAATCCTTCTTTTTAACTCAAAAGGCTTTTCACAATTATAAATTTTCGTCATATCATTGAAATTGAAAACACAAATCTAAATAGGTATGCGCACCGATTTTTCATTCGTTGTGTCTATTCATAGCCTTTTTTCTGTTTCGCACACACCGTGATGTATTTTTCTCTTTCGAAGTTATATTTTTCGATGTTCCCTCATGTGGAATTACAAATTAGTACTCAAAAAGATTTCATTTAACATTTGCTCCTTCTCTATTCATTTACGTTCTCTGCTTATGCTCTTTTGAAGTATTGCGATTACCGATTGGGCTGCATTTTCATAGCGTCGTGTTTAGATAAAATGGGCTAAATTGAGAAACTATGAAACAATGATAATAAGTAAACATATAAAAGTACTATATGCAGTGTGCTTAGAATATATAGAAGCAGTTAATGATTTCATATAGTTAAATGTCAATTTTATATAAATTTTATAATATAATGCCATATATAGTGCATTATATGAATAAAATTAAAATATTATTTTAACTCGCTAATACTTAGGTCATGTTGCCAATTCTCCCTTCTGAAGGCAACATCAGACAAATTCTTTAATTTCCGATTTTTAGCAAATGTTGTCAAATGTTGTGAGGAGGCAGCTTGTGGGCAAAATACAAATACGAGGGGAATAGAAGGATCAGTTGTAAAATTGAATCTTCTTCAATTTTACTGAAGACATTCAAATTCAATTTCATTCATTTTTATTTTCGCGCATTTGCGGTAGGAATTCTATATGAAAACCAAATGTGGTTTACCAGGCGCACAGAAAAAATAGCACGGCGCAGAGTTATGAACGAACGCACTTTGCTTTGAAGCAGACGCACGTTCCTTATGAATGAATTTGTTGTCGTTGTAATATGAAATACTTAGAAAATAAGCCGCGAGTTCGCTTGAACATTATTGGCCGATGATGGTGTCTACGTTTTTTTGTCACTTGCGCGAATGTTTGATTTTTTGCGAAACACATATTGAGGGACATACATATGTACATATGTGTACATACCTATAGGCACATATATTTGGACATGCGAATGAAGGAAGGCAATTTCAAGAATATTCACATATAGACATATGAACATTGAAGCAAGTAAACAACAATAGCTGTTTGAGTTCACAGATTAGACAAATTAGCCTGAGTATTGTGTGTGGTGCTGCTTGTATAGCACACTTACGTATTGCAACGTGAAATATTTCGCCTAAGTTCAAATCCTATCAGGTACTTTTTTTATACTCTTTTTTTATTTTTATAACCCTTTTTTATTATATTATATTTTAATTATGTTTTCATATTATTTCCCTCATTATTTATATTTTCTTGTCAGAAATCAATTATTTTTCTTTTTATTATTTAAATTTTTGTTTATGCGCATACCAAAGAACATATGTGCATATGTATGTATATACATTTTGCTTATAGAGTGGTGTAATTCATTGCGTCGCCTGATAGGATGGTGAAATTTTATTTTCGAACTTGCGCGTTTTCGGTGTTCCCTCCTCTTAATTAAAATTTTAGTACAGCTAACATTTGCTCCTTCTCTATTCATTTACGTTCTCTGCTAAAACGCCAATAGATATATTTGAGTGGCATTGTGACAAAACAATCAACAGTTTGAG